AATCTGGCTAAGAGTTTATCAATGTTACTAACATTTTCAAAGAAATCCCTAGTTTCATTGGTCTGCTCCATTGTTTTTTTAGTTTCTATACCATTTATTTCTGCTTTAATCTTTATTATTTACCTCCTTCTACTGGCATTAGGCTTCATTTGTTGTTCCTTTTCTACTTCCTTTAGGTGTAGGATTAGGTTTTTCATTTGAGATTTTTCTTGTTTCTTGAAGTAGGCGTGTAGCACTGTATACTTCCACCTTAGGACTGCTTTTCCTGCATATCCCAAAGGTTTTGGACCACTGTGTTTTCATTTTCATTTGTTTCCAAGTATTTTTTAAATTTCTTCCTTGATTTCCTGGTTGACTCATTCATTGTTTAGTAGCATGTTGTTTAACCTCCAGTATTTGTTGTCTTTTCATAGTTTTTCTTGTGATTGACATCAAGTTTCATAGTGTTGTGGTCAAAAAAGATGCATGGTATGATCTCAATCTTTTTGTACTTTTTGAAGTCTCATTTGTGACCTAGTATGTGATCTATTCAGGGGAATGTCCCATGTGCACTTGAAAATAATGTGTATTCTGGTGTTTTAGGATGGAATGTTCTGAATATATCTGTTAAGTCCATCTGGTCCAGTATGTCATTCAAATCCATTGTTTCCTTGTTTAATTTTTTTCCACAGATGATCTGTTCACTGATATAAGTGGGTGATAAAGTCTCCTCCTCTTATTGTATTATTATCAAGGGGTTGCTTTATGTTTGTTATTAATTGTTTTATACACTTGGGTGCCTCCATCTTGGGTGCATAATAACTTCCAACTGTCAGATCTTTTTGGATAGACTCCTTTATTATGATACAGTGCCCTTCTTCATCTTTTGTTATAGTCTTTGGTTTAAAGTGTACCTTGTCCTATATAAGTATTGCTACTCCAACTTTATTTAGGTGTCCACTTGCATGATAAATATTTCTCCATCCTGTCACTTTCAAGGCACAGTTGTGTTAGGTCTAAAATGAGTCTTTTGTAGGTAGCATATAGATGGGTCTTGTCTTTTTATCCAATCTGACACCCTATGTCTTTTGATTTGAGCATTTAGTCCATTTTCACTCAGAATAACTATTGATGGATATGTATTTAATGCCGTTTTATTCCTTCTTTTGTCATGGTTTCTGGAGATGTTCTCTTCTTTCTTGTTTTTGTCACTTTGGTCTTTCCTTTCTACTCAGTTCCCTTTAAGTTTTCTTGCAGGGCTGCTTTAAACTCCATTAGTTTTTGTTCATCTGGGAAACTCTACCTTTCCTTCTATTCTGAATGATAGCCTTGCTGGACAGAGTATTCTTGGCTGCAAAATTTTCCCATTCAGAATTTTGAATACATCATGCCAGTCTCTCCTGACTTGGGAAGTTTCTGTTGAGAAATCTGCAGCGAGCCTTATGGGTTTCCCTTGTAGGTTAGGGACTTCTTTTGTCTTGTTGCTTTTAAGATTTTTTTTTTCTTAATCACTATATTTTGCAAATTTAATTATAATGCCTTAGTGCTGGCTCACTTTTGTTGATTTTGATGGGAGGTTTCTGTGCCTCCTAGGATCTAGAGAAATTTTCTGCCCCCTTTTCTCTCTTCTACTGAGACTCCTATAATATGCATGTTATTATGCTTGATGGAGTAATTGAGTTCCCTAAGTATATTCTCATGTTGCATAATTCTTCTTTCTCTGTTTTATTCAGCTTCACTATATTCCATTATTTTATCTTCTACATTACCTAGTTGTTTCTCTGCTTCTTCCATCCTTGTGTTCATTGCATCAAGCTTGTTTTGAATGTTACTTCATTTTTCATTTCTGTTTTTAACTCTTTTATCTCTGTGGTAAGGACATGCATGAAGTCTTCCATTATTTTCTCAAGCCCAGTAAGTATCCTTATGATTGTTGCTTTAAATTCTCCATCAGGTACGTTACTTATATCTGTTTCTCTTAGATCTCTGGCCATGGCCTTGTCTTCTCCTTTCATCTGGGCTAAATTCCTGTCTTGGCATTTTATCTAAGTTTCTATCCTCTTCTGTATATTAGAAAACTCCATTAGGTTTCCTGCTTCTAAGAATAATGGCTTTATGAAAGAGATCATATAGTGCCCAGGGCCTGGTACTTCAGAGTGTGATGTGTGCACTCTGCTGTTCTTTTCTGGCTGCTGTATCCTTCAGGCCAGTTGTCTGTCTTGCCTGCAGTTGACAGTGTTTGGTCTTTGGCCAGAATCAAGTTTTAACTAGGTATATTCTGGTCTGCTTGCTAAATGAGATATGATACTACTTCCACCTGAACTAAAGTCCTACAGAATTCTCTGGTTGGGAGCCATGGTGTGGGCAGGGGTTTCTGCTGGTGTTCTATGGAAAGGGAACCATGCTAGGATGGGAGAAAGCTTGACCAAGAAGGGCAGTAGTGTCAGAGCCCAGGGGTGTGGGGCTTGGTATAAGCAGGTTAGGCAGCCAGTGTTGATGCTATGCTGCTTCCCACAAATGGCTCTGTGTTTATGCTGAGGGCAGGGGAGGGAAATGGCACCAGCCAGCTCCTTTCTTCAAGGAAAGGAGTCCCTGTGCATGCTGTCTATCAGGAAAGCAAGCTGAGAAGAGTGAATAATCTCCCCTCTGTGTGTTCTAGGTGTGTTTCAGATTGCTGTATCCACACTGTCTGCCTCCAGGTTGTTAGCCTGTGGTGCCCTCTGAGCTGTATCACAGCCAAGCCTGCTAGTCTTAAAACTCCGGGCTTTAGGGATGTGGTGTGGGCAGGGGCCTGTCACTGGTCTTCCAGGGGAGGGTCCCACCTAGGCAGAAATTCTTAGGTTGCTAAAAAGTCCTATGACATACTGTCCTAATCAATCTGAAGTACTCAAAGGAGTTAACTAAGGCTTTAAAGTAGTTATATTGGCAGAAAAACCTAGTGTGATATAAGAGTTCTGTCTCAACTGCTAAGCAACTCCTAGATTTTGTACCTATACTCATATAAAAGTGGGCTAATAAGGGAGTAGAGCTTCCAGCAAGGGAATTTTCTCCAATAATCCTCCAAGATGGCACAGGGAAACATGAAACAAAGAAAATGTCATTGATAGGCTGAATCTGGGGACTCTCTGGAATAAGCTAACCAATTATGTCAATCCATCACTAGGGAAGGGACTCAATGAAAAAAGACTCAATTAGGTTAACTTTGTTATCCTTATGAGGCAGAATGTAGAAAATTACATGGAATAAGTGATAGCTATCTTGCTATTTTTGCTTTTTTGAACTGTTATTTTAAATTGCAGTTATTCTGTTTTTTGCTTCTATTACTTTACATGAAGTATGTCAGACATTTGTATATTTTTAATTTAGCCTATAAGTGAATTTACATCCCTATCTGAGACAAAATGGACACCAATCAGCTAATTTTAATCTTGGAGATGAGAGTCACTTCTAGGCATGGCATGTGGGACAGAGAATGAGTGTATCTGTGGTTATAAATGGAAAACTGTACTAGGTTCAGCAAAAGCACCATTTGAACTGGATGGAGAAAGGGTGTGTGTGTATGCTGGCAACAAAGAAATGAATACCATTGTTTTATCTACCAAAAAGACCCCCTTTTCTGTATTTTATTCATTCTTGAGGGAACTTTTCTATTTGCATTCAACCAAGTGTGTGCTGTCAATCACAGTATTCCATCCCTCTGTAATACAAATCAGAATCTTGCCACATAAGTATATTATGGTATAAGTAGGTTAGGCAGGAATTTAGGAATTCCTAAATTCAAAGTTAGGAAACAAGAATACTTTGGTGACAAAATTGAACACATAAAGTAATGCTGCTAATAATTATGTATCTAGCCATGTGAAAGAGCCCTGTTGTAAGGAATACAGGTGACATGCACTATAATGCAGAGACAATATAATAAAGTGTCCTGGTGATAATTCTTCATTTTAAGTGTGGCCTTGCCCTTTTTTCATAAGCCAGTCAGATTTGCTGTCACTTGCAACTACAAGAGTCCTGACACAATTCTCTTAGAAAAAATCAAGTAGTCTAGTAGGCTAGTATATAGAGTGCACAGGAAATATGGTAGAGGTACTCCTAAGAAACTTGGAAAAACTGAGAAACTTAGCATCTTAAGTCAGTTCCAAAGCCACTCTATTACAGTCTTTCTCTTGACTGTAACCTAACAGAAAGTACTACCACAGTAAGAAAAAGTCACAGATGGAAATAGTGGTAATGTCCATCCAAGCACTACATGTTTGCATCTGTAGGTAGGTAAGGATACCCTAAAGGTTTAACCTACTAATTGTGAGCATACATACCAGCTTACCTTAGCCTGGTATCAAATTGCTATTTCACTCTACATAGGCTATTCTAAGCACAGAAACATACTTCATTTCTTCCAAATTTCAAACACTATTATCTGTTATAGGTAACTATGTCTCATACTTCACAAAGCTATCAGATGGGACTCTAATTTCCCAATACTAATTATACCATGCATGCCTATGTTGTACCTATCCATCTTCCACAAAGGCCAATCATTCAAATGTGCATAGACTGCAATTCTTTCCCTTCCTGTTTTGTTTCTGGGATCTTACATTATTGATTATTCTATGTGTTATAAATTAATTCTTCCCCACAACCATGAGAGATGTAAACTCCATGAAGACAGATACCTTTTCCATCGTATTCATTGCTATATTTTTGATGCCTAGCACATAGTAAGTACTCAAAATTATTTGTTGAAGGCAAGAGTAAATAAATGAATAAAAAGCTAGAAAGGAATAATCTGTAAGAGGTCTTCCATTTCTGAAGTTCTATAATTCTACTTGGAGAAGATCAAGCGTGACAATGGATTTCTGAGGGTTAGAGGCATCATCAAACTTCAGTAATACTTTTCTAGACAAACCTAATATAATTTTTCTTTATCCTTGACTTTACTTCAGATAAATTCACTTTAAATTTTGAGCCTCAAGATGAAATAATTAAAATAGAAAATGACAATAACAAATTATGCTTACTCTTCTTCCCATCCATATCTGCATGGATTTTCCGAGCCAAGAATCCACTTTTGTATACAGCAGCATTTGGGTCATGAGGAATGTCTAAGAATGGGTTGGTAGTACTCCCAATACGACTGATGGTCTTTGGATGTGTTCCATTAGCCTTCTCATCAGTTCCTTCAGTTGGAGATTTTTTTTTCTCCTCATCATCTCTAAAGGGAGAAAACACAGTTTGAGCACCTAACACAATATTCAATGAACAAAGTTATTTAGTGTAATAAACTATCATGTTTTCCAATAGTCCATCAGTCTTGATAAAAACACTATAATAAGAGCTATCACTTACTGTGTGTCTGTGTCAAATATTAATGATCATAAAGATCTTGTAAGATGGATATTAGTATCCTATATTACAGATAAGGAAGCAAACTCAGAGAGTTTAAATAAATTCCCAAGGCCACAGATCTAGTAATCAAAGAGAGATGGTAAGGTAATGATTGCAAAATCTCTAAAGCCTTTGCTCTTTCTACCCACTACCTTCATACTTGTCTTCTTTCAAAAGAGTGAGGATTCTTTTGCTGAAATCATGATTTTGATTTTGATTTTTACATGTTTTAGCACATCGCCAAGTACACAGAATACAATGAATAATTTTAGATTAAGTACAATGAATAATACTGAACTATATCCACCAAATAATCTCTTATATTGAAACCCCCAGTAAAGCTATCAATGTGGTAGGATGGTGGCGTCATTTAGTACTTTGGCATCTTCTAGCTACAATTTTCTCAACTGCCATAAAAATGTGGGGCACCACTGAGAAAACCAATTGCCCAGTCTTTTGTGAATCTCTGTTCCTTCAAGCAGGGCAAATCTTTTAATGTACACTTAGTATGAAGTTTGCAGAAAATGGATGCTTACATTCAATTAATAAAGAGGAGTGAAATGAAGATGAAAGCTAATAGACTGATAAACTGCTGAAAAACACAACACCGAATTAAGAACATTTGTCTTATTTCACCTGTTTCAATTTCTTGGCTTACCTTTGTTTTTACTGTTTATTAGACACTCATGATTAAAGATTTTTGATTAAAACTTCAAAATAACCACCACAAAAATATATTTAAAATAAACCACAAAATTAACAATTATCAAAGTTGTGCATTTGGTGATCAAATTAAAAATGTGGTTTTTTTTTCTCCATTGCTATTTGATTATTTGAAGAATCTTTTGTCTTCCTGCTTTAAAAATTTTTTATCACTACATTTTGTAAATTTAATTGCAATATGTCTTGATGTTGGCCGGCTTTTTTGCTTTGGATGGGAGTTTTCTGTCTCCTGGATCTGTATGTCTTTTTCCTTTCCCAGATTAGGGATGTTTTCACCTATTCTTCCCTCAAATAAATTTTCTGCCCCCTTTTCTGTCTTCTTCTTTTGACACTCCTATAATGTTATTATGCTTGATTGAACCACTGAGTTCCCTAAGTCCATTCTCATGTTGCATAATTCTTCTTTTGTTCAGCTTCGTTTCTTTCAATTATTTTGTCTTCTAGGTCATTGTTCCTCTACTACTTACAGCCTGCTGTTCATTGCATCAAGCATGTTTGTAATCTTGTTTATTGAACTCTTATCTCTGAATGGTTCTGTTTTCACTTTTTTATTTCTGTGGCAAGGGTCCCCTGGATGTTTTCTATACTTCTTTTAAGCTCAGTGACTATCCTTATAATTGTTGCTTTAAATTCTCAATCATGAATGTTACTTATATCTTTTTCTTAGATATCTGGCTGTGGATGTAATTTGTTCTTTCATTTAGTATAAATTCCTCTATCTTGACATTTTGTATAAGGCTTTGTCTTTTTTTCTGTGCTAGAAAAGCTAGTTATTTTTCCTGCTCCTGAAAGCAATGGCTCCTTAAGGAAGAGAATATGTAATGTCCTGGACCTGGTGATTCAGGGATTTTCTCTGGTGTGTGCTGTCTCTGCTCTGCTATTGTGCTTTGGCTGCTGTATCCTTCAGGCTGGTCATCTGCAGCCATGGTTTCTGCTGGTCATCTGGGGTTGGGGCCCACCATGCTGGGAATGAGGCATGCTTGCCTGATAAGGGCTGTCCCACCATAATGTAGGGAGTTAGGGCCTGGTGTATGCAAGTTAGGCAGCCAGTGTTGGCAATATGCTACTTCTGGTAGGTGGCTGTGTTTTTGCTGAGGGGTTGGGGATGGAATTGGCACTAGCCAGCTCCTTTGTTCCTGAAGAGATATCTCTGTGAATGCTTCCCATCAGGCACATGCCCCAAGAGTGAATAATCTCCCTCTTGGGTGCCCCAGGCATTTTTCAGATTGCTGCTTCCATGCTGTTGCCTTTGGTTGGTTTGCCTGCCTTCTCTCCAGGAGCAGCACAGTGCCCTCTGGACTATATCCCAGGCAAGCATCCTGACCTTTAAAAATCCAGGCTCTTGGGTCACTTGGGAGGCTTAGTCAGTTAAGTATCTGACTTTGGCTCAGGTGATGACCTCAAGGGTCATGGGTTGGAGACCGGTATTGGGCTCTATGCTGAAAGTGCAAAGCCTGCTTCAGGTTCTCTGTTTCTCTCTCTCTCTGCCCCTCCTCTCTTGCTCTCTTGCTCTTAAAAACAAACATTTTTAAAAAAAAATACAGGTTCTAAGCAAGTTCTCATGATATCCAGCCCGTCTTGTTTTCCAAGGCAATGGCTTTGAGGCAATATTCTCCTTGTGTGTTGCTCTCTCTCTCATCCTTTTCTGTGACCACAACTCTCTCCCCTCTGTAGCACCTGGAATCAGTTTCTCCCCTAAACCATATCTCCGTACTTCCTACATTCTTTGATGAGGATTCTTCTCTCCCTTAAGTTGTGGAGTTTGTTGTCAGTCTTCATGTCAATTTCTGGGTTATTTAGGATGATCTGATAGTTATCTAGTTGTGTTCATAGGACAACAAGAGCCTAGGATCCTCCTACTCTGCTGTCATCCTCCTCTCCCTCTGGAATTACTGATTTATGCATGTAAGAGATTTAATTATTTATTCATTTATTTAAAATTAATGGCCACTATTGATTTTCACAAAACTATCTTCTGAAGGCTGCAAAAATCCTGGAAAATCATAATTAGTTACTGTATGGATCAGATTTCCTCTTCTATGTTGCTTTATTAAAAATTGTTTTGCATGTAGTTGACCATTTAATGTGAGATATTTAAAGTATATAGTATGAGGATTTAATATACATCATGAAAGGGGTCCCTCATTGAGTTAACACACTCCTCACCTCACACTTATATATATATATACACACATATATATATATATATTTATATATATATATATAAATATATATAAAATATATACACACTTATACATATATAAATATGTAAAATTATATGTATATATAAATATATACATATATAAAAATATATGTATATATATATATAAATTTTGTGTGTGAAGATATGTAAATTCTATTCTCAGAAAATTTCAACTATTCAATGCACTGTTATCAACTGTACTCAGCATGTTATACATTACTTCCTTAGATTGTATCCATCTTATAACTGAGAAGTTTATATTCTTTTACCACTTGTTCCCTACTTCCCTCACAACTCAACTCTTGAAAGTGACATATTCTTCACTGTTGTAAATTCAACTTTCTTTTAAAATTCCACATATTACAATACAACAAGGGATACCATGTAGTATTTGTCTTTCTCTGTCTTCAGTTAGCATAATGGCTTCCAGATTCATTCATGTCTACTACCTATGACAAGATTTCACTCTTTTATAAGGGTGCGTAATATTCCCATTGTGTATATATAGTTGTATCCATACATCTGTAGATAGACACTTAGGTTTTCCCCATACTTTGGATATTATAAATAATTCTTCTATAAATATGAGAGTACAAGTAATTCTTTCAGATAATTATTTTGTGTTCTTTGGCTATATATTCAGAAGTGGGATTATTGGTAGTTCTATTTTTAATTTGTTGAGGAACCTCCATGCTGTTTGCCATAGCAACTATACAGGTTAACATTTCCACAAACAGTGTAAATATCTTTCCCACTTAGTAGGTTGCCTTTTTATTTTGTTAATGGTTTCCTTTGTTGTGTGGAATTATTTAGTTTGATGTGGTCTCACTTAATTTTGCTCTTGTTCCTAAATCTAAAAATTCACTATCAAGACTAATGTCAAAGAGCATACTCTTTAGATTTTCTTCTATGAGCTTTATGGTTTCAGGTCTTATGTTCAAAGATTTAATCCATTTTGAGTTGATTTTTGTGTAAAGTAGAAGACAGAGGTCCAATTTCATTCTCTTCCATGTGGATACCCAATTTTCCTAAAAACCATTTCTTGGACACATAATCTTTTCCCCACTGTATATTCTTGGCTGTCCTGTTAAAAATTAATTGAACAAATTCTATGAGTTTATTTCTAGGCTCTCTATTCTGTTCCATTGATCTGTGTGTCTGTTTTTTACATCAGTGCCAAACTGCTGATTACTATAGATTTGTAATATAGTTTGAAATTAGGAATTATAATGCCTCCAGCTTTGTTCTTCTTTCTGAAGATTGCTGTGGTAAGATATCACATAAAAGAGAACTACAGGCCAATATTTCTCATTAATATGAGAAACTTGTCAACAAAATATTAGAAAAGTAAAGCCAACAATATATTTAAAAAAAATTATACACCATGGTCAAGTGGGATTTATTCTGTGCACGCAAGTGTGGTTCAATATTTGCAAAACATTCAACAAGATATGTCACAGCAATAAGAGAAAGGATAAAAAAACACATTTTAATACATGCAGAAAAAGCTTTCTACAAAGAACAATTTTCATTCATGATTAAAATCCTCTGCAAAGTCTGTCTAGAGCTAACATATCTCAATATAATAAAGGCCTCATATGAAAAACCCACAGCCAAAATCATACACAATGGGAAAAAATTGGAGAGCTTTTCTGGTCAGGTGAGGAACAAAACAAGGATGTCCACTTTCACCACTCTTATTCAACATGGTACTGGAAATCCTAGCCACAGAAATTAAACAAAAGAAATAACAGGCATCCAAATTGGCAAGGAAGAAGTCAAACTTTTACTATTTACTATTTGCATATGACATGATAGAAACCCTAAAGACTTCACCAAACAACCACCAGAACTGATAAATGAATTCAGTAAATTTGCAGGATACAAAAATCAATTGAATT